TCGGCGTTGGCCAGTATTCGCGATAGGCCAAATGAGAGCCAGCCAATCTTGTAGTTAACCAGGAATAATAATCACCATCGACTTCGCCACCTAAATATGCTGGTAGTTCGGCAGGATGACCTGACAACCTCATGAGCCAGGTTCAATCCCCCCCAACGATAACAACTTACACACACCGGCACACCATTCAACATCACCATCATGAGTTGTGTTGAGGAATGTTACAACATTGGTCAGAGACGAGGGCAATAGTGGTGATACAGCCGCCCAAGCTGCTCGGAAAATGAATGGTGCATCGACGAACATAACGCGGCTAATGTGTGATATATGACCCAAGCCGACAGCACTGAGATGAATAAGGTTCAACAACAATAGATACCTCAATAGAAACTCACAGAGCTCCCTTCTTGATATCTCCCACGTTAAGGGTAATATTCTTCATACCAATACCAGCAAAGTCGTACACCAGACACGCGCCAAGGCGGACCGATGCAGGGTCGGCTAGAGCCGCATCCAACGCCATCCATGTGGATTTCACGCCTGCTGATGCATGTTAAATGTGCCTCCCTGTGTGAATTAGATAGAGTTACTCACCACATAGTATTGGTATGGTTGCTGGTGACATGAATCGCATCCTCACCCACCCCATAGGCCTACCGTCGAGATCTCGACCGGCTTTTACACTAAACCCTGCAAAAACGAGGATATTGGGAAAACAAGGACAAGGATGAGCCGCGATGCACTGGGCTTACCGGCGCTGAAGTTTCGTTGGATTTCGGACTCTGTTATCTCTCGAATAGGTAACTTCTTCAGAAGGTCTTCGTGACGACGCGCCTAAATATATCATGGTAGGTTCGAACTCACATACTTATCCATCTTAATCGAACACGATTACGAGTCGACCAGTCACGCTTGAGTGTAACCTATCTTACTAGAGCCTCAGCCTTATCAACATCGAGATTACGAGACCAAGCCAACTTGAGCCAATCATGCGTAACGTATCTGTTTCCTTTGTATCGTAACTTCAACTCCTAATAGTTGAAACCAACCTCCTCGTTAATTCCGAATTCTTAAGCCTTTCTCGTAGCTCACGGATACATAGCAGTTCATCCGGTGTAAGGTCATCGTCATCCTTACATAACATAGGTACCTGTATAGAGGTATATCGATTGGCAGAGGGTATCAATGATGTAGTATCACTTCAATGCTCGGCATCATCTCTCCGTTCTCCATACGTTCCAATAGGGGTTCATTCAAGTCCGATCTGGAACAGAAAAGGTATCAAGTTCAATCCCTGATGACGACATTTCTACTACCCAGAGACTGTATAAAAGCTCTGCACTGAGTCAACCCTTCCTCTACGTGGGGTTACTAATGGTAGCGTATTACGCTTGGATGATGCTGCTGCAATCATCGCATCACTCGTAGCTCGCCACCTAATAAACTTGTGATGGATGAAAAAGATGATCTTATCGATAATTTAAGATTTGTAAATATGATCTTATTACTTAGCTCTTGCTGCTCTCAATGTACTAGACTCTCTCCTTTGCTTTTTAATGCCCTCATTCTTCTTAATATAGTTACATAACAACCAACCCATATACATAGCGAATGCACACAATACTGCTGTATGCACCTGACAATGTACAGGATGTTACCTTACACATACAGATCGGCAGCGCATTCACAACCAGACCAGGAATTCTCGTCGTTTTCAAGAGCGTAGAAGATCCAAGCTTGTTATTATCACCTTGTACACCAACGTATAGCCATCGTACTCCCGAAAGGGTTGGCAGCTGTAGAAAATGGAAGAAGTATCCGCAGACTTGGAGCCCGAACATGACAGATCTGCAATGAGCTCCAGAAGGAGCAGGGGTGCATACCTAACCACCACCACATCATCGAATGGAAGTGACTGCTTCAAACCACGGTAGTACGATAAATAAAGTATACATGCCATAACTGTCGCCATTT